CCACCATTGCACAACTTTGTCTGCAACAATGTAAATACAATCAAGCTGGAAACGGATTTTATAAGTATTTTGATATATACATTATGGCTCATGTCTAAAGACACCTGCACTTTCATATTGAAATTGTTCTAATATCATCCAAACAAAACACATCAGAAAACTGTAACATCAGCCAAATGAGCAAATCACTTTTTTAATAGTATCTGAAATAAAACCAAATCACATATTATTCAAAAGTTGTAAACATTGTTGCATATATGATATACCAAAATATCGTCGCATTTCTAGTGGTAACTAACTATAAATTAGGCCAATTTAAACTCCACTATGAAGAACATCAAAAACTACACATAAACATAAAACATTTTAAAATATAAACGCTATACGAAGAATACGAAGCCAATGAAGGCACATTTCCCTAAATACTCGGTCAGAGCCTCAGAGGTGTGTTCTAGTTCACAATTAATCTTCTCTCACAGTTTAAAACAAACAATAATACTAACCTTCGACAAATTGTGTATAAATCTTATCGAATTTAACCATTTTGCCACAGATTTTGCCAAAAATATTTCTTAGACGGGCAAAAGTATTTATAATGACACTCCTGACTCCTTGCGTGAAAATGTTAATTTATCCCAAAGTTTGAATAAATTAATCCAAGATTGCATTATTTCCATAATAATGTACTTGTCATTGACCAATCAGAATACATAGAAGACCAGCCGATCCCAGGGCCTTTTCCCGCCTTCCCAATGACAAAAAGGGAAAAGCCCTGGGAACGAGGTTGTAATCGGCCGATTATACGTCGCGATCGGCCACCGATTAATCGGATCGGCTAATCGGCAATTTTCGTGATCGGCTCATCTCTAGTTTTCCAATTAGTTGTATGATTTGTAAGGGAGAATAACAACAGCTTCTGGTTCAGTTTCTGTGTAATTAGTGTTAAGGCCGAGATGGCACATCTCTTAGCCGCCCTGGACAAATGACTCATTTGCCACAGGTAACACTGTTATGCAGCAATTGTTCTTTCTTGAAGTTAGAAGTTTTAATAAACCCTTCTTTCTCAGACTTACATATATTTTTGGTAGATTTTTTATAATTTGATAATTGAAAAGGACATTGGTGTTCCGATTAGTTGTATGATTTGTAAGGGAGAATAACAACAGCTTCTGGTTCAGTTTCTGTGTAATTAGTGTTAAGGCCGAGATGGCACATCTCTTAGCCGCTCTGGACAAATGACTCATTTGACACAGGTAACACTGTTATGCAGCAATTGTTCTTTCTTGAAGTTAGAAGTTTTAATAAACCCTTCTTTCTCAGACTTACATATATTTTTGGTAGATTTTTTATAATTTGATAATTGAAAAGGACATTGGTTTTCCAATTAGTTGTATGATTTGTAAGGGAGAATAACAACAGCTTCTGGTTCAGTTTCTGTGTAATTAGTGTTAAGGCTGAGATGGCACATCTCTTAGCCGCCCTGGACAAATGACTCATTTGCCACAGGTAACACTGTTATGCAGCAATTGTTCTTTCTTGAAGTTAGAAGTTTTAATAAACCCTTCTTTCTCAGACTTACATATATTTTTGGTAGATTTTTTATAATTTGATAATTGAAAAGGACATTGGTTTTCCAATTAGTTGTATGATTTGTAAGGGAGAATAACAACAGCTTCTGGTTCAGTTTCTGTGTAATTAGTGTTAAGGCCGAGATGGCACATCTTTTAGCCGCCCTGGACAAATGACTCATTTGACACAGGTAACACTGTTATGCAGCAATTGTTCTTTCTTGATGTTAGAAGTTTTAATAAACCCTTCTTTCTCAGACTTACATATATTTTTGGTAGATTTTTTATAATTTGATAATTGAAAAGGACATTGGTTTTCCAATTAGTTGTATGATTTGTAAGGGAGAATAACAACAGCTTCTGGTTCAGTTTCTGTGTAATTAGTGTTAAGGCGAGATGGCACATCTCTTAGCCGCCCTGGACAAAGACTCATTTGACACAGGTAACACTGTTATGCAGCAATTGTTCTTTCTTGAAGTTAGAAGTTTTAATAAACCCTTCTTTCTCAGACTTACATATATTTTTGGTAGATTTTTTATAATTTGATAATTGAAAACGACATTGGTTTTCCAATTAGTTGTATGATTTGTAAGGGAGAATAACAACAGCTTCTGGTTCAGTTTCTGTGTAATTAGTGTTAAGGCCGAGATGGCACATCTCTTAGCCGCCCTGGACAAATGACTCATTTGACACAGGTAACACTGTTATGCAGCAATTGTTCTTTCTTGAAGTTAGAAGTTTTAATAAACCCTTCTTTCTCAGATTTACATAGATGTATCTTTTGGTAGATTTTTTATAATTTGATAATTCAAAAGGACATTGGTTTTCCAATTAGTTGTATGATTTGTAAGGGAGAATAACAACAGCTTCTGGTTCAGTTTCTGTGTAATTAGTGTTAAGGCCGAGATGGCACATCTCTTAGCCGCCCTGGACAAATGACTCATTTGACACAGGTAACACTGTTATGCAGCAATTGTTCTTTCTTGAAGTTAGAAGTTTTAATAAACCCTTCTTTCTCAGACTTACATATGTTTTTGGTAGATTTTTTATAATTTGATAATTGAAAAGGACATTGGTTTTCCAATTAGTTGTATGATTTGTAAGGGAGAATAACAACAGCTTCTGGTTCAGTTTCTGTGTAATTAGTGTTAAGGCCGAGATGGCACATCTCTTAGCCGCCCTGGACAAATGACTCATTTGACACTGTTATGCAGCAATTGTTCTTGAGGTTAGAAGTTTTAATAAACCCTTCTTTCTCAGACTTACATATATTTTTGGTAGATTTTTTATAATTTAATAATTGAAAAGGACATTGGTTTTCCAATTACTTGTATGATTTGTAAGGGAGAATAACAACAGCTTCTGGTTCAGTTTCTGTGTAATTAGTGTTAAGGCCGAGATGGCACATCTCTTAGCCGCCATTAAGGTGGCATTGGCAAAACGTTGCTTTATCGCCATGGATTATCCCAGGGCTTATGAGAGCGACCAAGCACATAAGCCCTGGGTACGAGGTTGATTATCTCAGGGTTTACGAGAGCGACCAAGCACATAAGCCGTAGGTACAGTACGAGGTTGATTATCTCAGGGCTTACGAGAGCGACCAGGCACATAAGCCCTGGGTAAGAGGTTGATTATCTTGAGCAGGGCTTACGAGAGCGACCAAGCACATAAGCCCTGGGTAAGAGGTTGATTATCTCAGGGTTTACGAGGGCGACCAAGCACATAAGCCCTGGGTACGAGGTTGATTATCTCAGGGTTTACGAGAGCGACCAAGCACATAAGCCCTGGGTAAGAGGTTGATTATCTCAGTGCTTACGAGAGCGACCAAGCACATAAGCCCTGAGTACGAGGTTGCTTGCTGCCAATATTGACAAAAATTGCGTAGTAATCGCCTCATGTCAAATCGCCTCATGTCATGTCGTAGTAATCGCCTCATGACAAAATATTCAATAATCACTTGTGTAAAGTCGCGTATATCCTCTGTATAGGTGCATAAAGAAATGCAAAAAGTTCTCCCAGGTTTTGCATTAAATAAGTCTGTGGAAAGATTGAGAAAAGGTATTAAAAAAGTTCTACGGAAGGATGAACTGGCGAATAAAGATGTTGCTGACGCTGTTTCATTCATTGAAACGAAAACAATGAAAAAAAGGGGATCACTAATTAAGTTCAACGATGTAAGTATATTCAAATTACACTTGGTAGCTGAGTTAGAGATAGTTTCTATACACGTTTGTAAGGGCAGGGTATGCAAAAAGTTTTTCCTTAAACTCTACCATTATGTATTCTCTTCGCTATAGCCATCGAGTAAGCCCAAGAATTTGTTTGAAGACAAGCGGTCCAGTTTAAACTGGTGGTACTCGGCACACCGGACGACGTTCTTCGAAAGCAGTACGGACCTGTTGGAAGCTTTAGTCGACGTCATTTCAAGCTATTACGTCTTCCACATAAATTACCCTGATCAAATGTCAGGTATCCTCTACTTCCTCCAGGATTTCGCGTTAGATGTATCAGACACCACACAGAGATCCATTAAATACTCGTCTTTCGTTGCTGAACTGCAGTGCGATGTTCACCGACAGTGAACTTGAAGTTACAAGTCGATTACATTTTATTCCCTTCTATGCATGTCGCAAAAACGTAAGGAAATGTACTCTGATTGTGGTGGTGTATTTTGTACTCAGGTGTTATAAGTATTTTTTCCCTGCTACTCTTAGTACTAGACCAGGCGGAGAAGGGGGGAATAGTCCCCCGACGGGGAAATTTATGAAACCAAGTGAACTTGGTCAATTTTGGGGTGCTGAATTCGAAAATCGTTGGTATACAGGCCGTGGACGTGGCCTTCAGCCTCGTTTTCGCGTTTAAAGCCTCGTTTTGATGCGAAAACGTTATCCGCTCGATTGAAGCGAAAACAATGAATAATTTGTTTAATATACGCACTTTTAGGTATTTCTAGGTGCAGAATTCGAAAATTGATTGCATTCGGACGATAAACTGGGCCATCTGCCTCGTTTCCGAGATTTATAGCCGCGTTTTTACGCTTTGAAACCACGTTTTCCGATTTTAGTTACTATACATATTTAAACTACACTTTATTTAATCGCTTTAAAAACCTGTAAACATGTTAATGCTCATCATCCTCCATATCATCGTCGATGTCATCTCCAATATAACTATTTCGCTCGAAATCAAACTCGTCACTTTCTTCTTCTCTGTCAATTAACATTTCGCTAACGTCATCGGGGTAAGCAACACTGTCCCAGATAACTTTTCCATCTTCTTTCCAGCCATGACATGTTTGGTCATCAAGATCGAGGATCAAGTTTTTAGCATTCCTGAAAATGAATGCAACATAATTTGCACGCATTATGTGAAACTTGAGGTTGGTTGCACAAGGTGGCAAAAGGCTAAGATCAACGACTTTCTTCTCTTTCGTAAATTTTTGGACAAACATCTTAGGTCGAAGTTTGTTCACCGAAGACATCACCTTGTTACCGTATAATGCACAAACGAACCTTTCTAAGCCCTCTGAAAGATGGTCAGGAACTTGAAGAGAGCTGCCTAGCTCAGCAAAGAAACTAATAAATTCTTGGCTTTTCAGCATCGCTTTCCAAACAGCTATCTTCCCTTTCCTGAAGAAACTTGAAACGTAGTCGTTACCAGAAAACGCGTGCAAACCAATCAGAGCCTTTCTTTTCTCATGATCTAATGTTGACGACGTCACATCTATAATTTTTCTAGCTTTTCCGGTCCCGTTGTCGATTAGGATTTTAGCGGCACAAAAATCATGCGCCACAAACAGGGCAAGAATATCGATATCTCCGGAAGGTGATCGAACCATAATAGTATCTTCTGGAGGTGCGTTCACAGCGTAGGGCAAGGCAACAAGCTTTGTGTCCGCTTCCTCGTGGTCGCTAGCTAAGTATTCGGCAACTGATACTTCATCACTTGTTATCTTCGTACACTTGAATTTGTTGGAAAAGAATACGGTTTTTCCTGATAGTAGATCACCACGCATTTCTTCAATTGCTTTCTGAATAAGATTGAAAAGCATTTCTTTGTTTTCCCCATTACGAAGAAAACCAGCGAAATCGTAAGGCACCTTCATGCCAGGACTGGTTAGGACATACCGCTCGTTTGAACCTCTTGCTTGGCGTTCTCCACCTTTGATGCTATTGTCCTTGTATGTGTCACAAACTATGTAGATAGTCGTGTACTGAGAAGGAACAGTGGCTATTATTTGAGATGTCATTTCTCTAATCGTAGATCCAGTGAAGATCAGACTACGTATCGCAGCGGCGAGATCTAACAAGTATGTTCTCATTGTCGAAGCGGGTGGTAGTGAGTCGTGGCTTACAACAGTCAGGTCGCTCGTGGAGGCGTGGTACAATTTGCTTTTGACGGTTTTTCGTATCGCGCCATCTGGTGTGCATAGCGGGATCGAAACGGGTGCAAGAGGAAAGCAGAGTACTTTCTCAAGATCAATACCTGACTCGTGCTTGTTAGAATACGCAACTAATATCCCCAAGATATCTCTCTGATATGTGAGTTCCTTGATCCTTCCCTTGTTCTTTATCTTGGTCTTTACTGCCAAATTCTTGAAGGTCTCGAGCTTCTCTCTCTTGATTGGGCTAAAGAAATCTGCTCCAGGTGATTCTGCTGACTCTGTGGTAATTCTGTCCTGAAATTCGTCCATTAGCTCCTTTCCCCTCGATTCAAGTGCAAGTAGACATTCACACACGTTCTCTGGAGCTGGATACCCGGAAATCAAATTGAACAACTTATCTTTATCAAGGTCAGCATGGAAGGGATTGATGAATTGTGTCTTCAATACCACCATGATTCCTTCCACCATCTTATTCGACTTCAGAATTTCACTGCTTCGCAGACATTTCGTGGATTTGACATTGTAGTGCACACTCCGGATAGCTCCAGTAACGATTCAACAAACTTGGTTTGGTATGGCCTGTTCATGACCCACTTTGTTACAGTACTTTCCTTTGCAGCAAATTGCGTGATTCCCCCTAAAAAGACGGAGAATGGTAATAAATATCAAGTATAAATGTACGACGGTTGCCACCTGTAAGGAAATATTGTTTCAGGAGATGCATGGCTGAAATATTTAAGATTATTACTTTTTGAATTCATGAGTATGAAGTATGTACCTGCAGTCTTTGCATTTCTCATGTAGCTTTGTTCGCCTGCCATGTCGATTGACTGTCCTATGCCAAGTTGATTTCTCCGCACCGACAAACCAAGATCTTCGATCTCCTGGATGAGTGCTGTCAATACATTCTAAACCACTTACATAATATGTGCCATAGCGAGCATAATGAACCCGATTGGTAGCAAAGCACAAAGGCAAAGATTCTTTCC